GGCGCCAGGGGGGTCACGCAAAGTTTGAGGGAAACAGGATTTTTTTAAAAAGTTTAATTTTTTTTTACATTTTTTTAGATGTTATTAATAACTCCATATCTATCAATCTATGTGTCCTTTGATGCCAATCTTTTCATATTTTTTGTTTTTGAATCACACGACAGCCCTTCAAGCCAATCAGAATCGAGCTGCCGCTACTGAGAGTGAAACTGAGTATCTGCTCAGCTTTTGGAGCAAGCGAGAGCTAGTGAATGTTTCGCTCTGCGGCTGGATGAGAGCACTGATGTAGCAAATGTCGCAGAATTGCTTGCATACATCAGATTTATTTCAGAAGACAACTTTGTTGAGGAAATATTATTTTGCAAAGCACTGGAAGGTAGGACCACATGAAGAGACATTTTCCAAGTTTTAGATGAGTACATCATCTCAAACGGACTTGACTGGTCTCGTTGTGTGGGTGTGTGTTCAGATGGGGCAGTGGGGCTATGACAGGCAAAGAAAGCGGAGTGACAGCTTTGATCAGGCAGAAGGCCCCAAATGTAGTGGCAACGCACTGCATGCTCCATCGGGAGGCACTTGTACACATCATTTAAAAAAAAAATTGCAACAGGGGGGTCCCCGCCAGAGGACAATGCTATATGGGGGTCCTTGGCATGGCAAAGTTTGGGAACCCCTGGTCTATATCAACGACATAGCCTGGTTACTAATGTTTTGAGTTAGTCAAAGATCATTTGATCATATTTTTTGTCTTTCAGAAAAAGGCCAAACCGGAGAAGAAGGAGCTGGGAGTAATCTCATACAGCGTCCCCACGGCCCCCGGGGAGAAAAAAGGTGATTAATCACTCTTGGCGCATGTGTTTCCTTTCTTGTAACGGAAGGTGTGCTTGTGACGTCACCAGATACAGAAAGATAGATTTGCTGCAGATATATTTAGTTTCTCTGTCCCGTGAATCAGATCAGCTCCAACATATTGTGGGTTCTTCCTTTACCCATTTTACATCCTTCCACCAATTGTTCTTAAAAAATCGTGCCAGTGGTTTTTCCTGTATTCCTGCAGACACACAAACTGAGCTGAAAAACACAACATCTTTGGCATAGAAACACAAACTATGAGAGTTAAGGGATAGTCTAGCCACAAGAACTCCTACAGAGACGCGTCACGACACAAGAGTATGTTCTAATGAAAGTATAACAAATTGAAGGTAACTAAAAAACAAATTAAAAAGTACAAACAGTTCAAATGAACAATTACTATGCGTAATATAAAATACAAGTTGAATAAAAAATACCAGCAGGTTTGTTTTGCCCCTTAGTGGTGGTGAGGGGGATTGTACCATGTAAGAAACTGGCCTCCATGGATACCCTTAATAATGCTAAGGGTCTTCTGTTTTTCATTATGATTAGATTCAGATAATATCAACCCTTTTTCTAACTTTCAGATGTGATAAGCCCGCTCCCTGACTCCTACAGTCCTCAGTATGTGGAGGCGGCCTGGTATCCGTGGTGGGAGAAGCAGGGATTCTTCAAGCCTGAGTACGGGGTAAGGAAGTCCTCCCCGTCGCAATATGTTCACACAAAAGACTATGTCGTAGTTGTACGCCTGCGACATCTGTTGATTTAAACTGATTTAGAATTTGATGATTAAAGGTCAGGGTCACTGTGACCACACACAACATGTTTCAGCCGTAACTCAAATATCCATATGTTTTTAAAGACAATTTCACACAAATGTCAAAACAATTATGATATTAAATCTAGTTTGTCCCTTGATTTGAAAGTGATTTTTAATGATTTACAAGGCTTTACATAACCTTGCCCCGACATATTTAAGTGACTGTCTCTCATCTGATCAACCTGCAAGGACACTTAGATCCTCCAATGTTTCACTTTTAAAACGGCAACCTAAATTTTAAAACTAAATTATCCTTTTTAGTAGTATCACTGTTCATGTTTTAATGTTTTATTGTTTTTACATATTTTAATGATGTTCCTCTTTTGTTATTGTGATTTTGTGTCATACTCTGTAAAGCACTTTGGGCTGCGTCAAGCATGAAAGGTGCTATATATAAACATCTCTGTCTGATACAACATGCGTGTCCCTCACTACGTTCTGCAGAGGAAGAGTATCAGCGATGCTAACCCTCGCGGTGTCTTCATGATGTGCATCCCTCCCCCTAATGTGACCGGATCCCTCCACCTGGGTCACGCTCTCACCAACGCCATTCAGGACTCTCTGACCAGATGGTAACTACCCTTGGACTTTTTAAATAGCCTGAAATACAGAGTCAGATGTTCAGTAAGGCTTTTGTTGCTTCATGGGATTTCTCATGTTTGATTTCTGAAGTTTGCAAGATGGCTGTGTTTTGGTGCTCTCTGTTTTGTATTGTTTAGTGCGTTAATTCAGTGTTTACATACAGGACATCGTGTTTACATCGTGTTTACATACAGGACATGGTGTTTACATACAGGACATGGTGTTTACATACAGGACATCGTGTTTAGGACATCGTGTTTACATACAGGACATGGTGTTTACATACAGGACACCGTGTTTAGGACATCGTGTTTACATACAGGACATCGTGTTTACATACAGGACATCGTGTTTACATACAGGACATCGTGTTTAGGACATCGTG